GTAGACGAGCCACGTTAGGCTTCCGCTAACTCGCAACGACTCTGCCTGTCTGCGCTCCGAGCCTAAGCCTCTGCTGGAGGGGGGGGGGGCAGAGACGCAGGGGCGCTGTGTAGTGATCCCCCTCCAAATAAGTTGGAGCCAAAAAGCATGTCAATCTTTTCAACATCCAGGATATCTTGGCCACTTTGAATACGTCGAATAACCTGTTGTTTGAATTTTTTCTTCGTCTTCGGGTAATCGAATAATGCAGACTGTCCCACTAACTGTTCAGCTGTGCCTTCCAGTCTTACGCTCTGCTAGTGATTTACAGCAGTCCTTCAAGAAGTTCTTAACTACCATATCCGTCCCTTCAGGCCATCGATCGAAATTCAAGAACCGGCATCGGATATTCGTGATGACGTCATCGAGATGGCTGGCTCTAAGGATGATATACGGGACAGGCCAGTCGATGTGGTTAGTACTGAAGTATTACAGATTGACAATTACAGTCTACAGCTTCAACTTCTGCACTTAATAGAGCCTGTTGTGCAACAACGCCCAATTGCAGGGCACTCACGTGCAAGCGTTAGAACCGGTTGCTGAACTACCTCAATCACCAGCCCCGTCGGCCAAGTCAACACCGCATACAACACCTAAGACAAGCATGAAATTCAAAAAAGTAATTCTTTTTCACCTCTATGCTCAAACAAAGAGCTTGATGTTTAGTGATTTTGGGTTTTTTTATTGAGTCGCCCGTTTTATCTACCGTTTTCAGGATGGCAAAGAGGCAAAACCGTTCGACTTCGGCAAAAGTAAATTTAGCTCGAAACACGAAGTCGTCAAACGTGGAAAGGATGTTGAGGTACAGATTTTTCCATCAAATTTTTGCAAATATGGGCCTGTATGTTGTTATAAGGGGAGAAAGCGATGGTAAAGTGGCCAAGGTAGCGTAACCCTTGCACAGGCGGTCATTATTGTACCGGTCGGGTAATTGGCCCTTCCGACTGCTGGTTGATTTTTACACTTTTCTACTTCTTACCCAGATGTACTCGTTTGCAACGCTGTTTCACCAAGGAAGAGCGACGCTAACAACATTTGAATAGGGTCATA